CTATAGGATTTGATACACTTGAGTTAGATGAGGCAAGAAGGAGTAACGCCCCTTTCCGAGGCATGTACGAGGCATACTTGCTCCAATCTTTTTCTTTTTTTTTTCTTTTGTAAAAAAGGAAGAAACACTCCTTAATTAGTTATTTTTATAGACATATTTTTAATATACACATATATGAGAACTAATGTTTAATACGGAGTAATAAATATCTAAAAAAATATAAAAAGTGATAAAAGGGGAAACTTCCATATTGTTTTTTAAAATTGGTTTTTTTAGATTTCAATTTTTTTTTTCTTACAAGAAAGAAGAGTTCTTTAAAGGAGTACATCGATTTTAACATTGTTTGCATTAGCATTACACTGTCATTTTTACATTTAGATACGGAGTATTTTTTTAGAAGATAAAAACAATACTTTCCTAGAATTGATATTTTCTTGAAAACTTTAAAAACCGGTTTATATTTTCATTGGGGTCGAATGCGTTTGTGCACAAGCGGATTTGCAGTTTGCTTGACTCGAATGCGTTTTATTTTTTCAATTGATTATCCTTTACTTTGATCGTACACCCCCTTTACCAGATTCTCCTCAAATTTTCGCTTTTTCTTTATATTCTCAATCTTTTCCCCGTATACATCAGTTTGTAGTCTGTCTCCACCCACATGCCTGTTTCTTGAGTTTGTCTGATCTGGATCCAATCACAATTACACGATCTTTTTGCTTTCTTTTCCCATCTAATTCGGGTCTTTCCGAGTTTCAGTTACGCTGACCAGAAGAACAGGAAGAAGGAGGAAGAGGAGGAGGAGGTGAGTTTCGTTGACTCTTACTTTCGGGCACTTTGACCCGATTCACGCTGATTCCGGTCTCAATTCGCTGCAATTCGAAGTGGGTCTGGATCAATCTTTGAAATTCTTGTAATTTTCGGGTATTAGATGAAGTGGGTCGTGAAATTTCATATCTGGGTTTGATTGTTCTTCCCAAATCTGTGAACTTTTGATGATTGAGTCGGGTTCGGGGCGGCCTTGAGGCATGTTAGGGTTTGAGATTTCGAAATACGCGCATAGCCCCGTGCATAAATCCATAATCTTGAAGGATTATGCGAGCCTGAGGAGGATAATTGCAGGGTTGCCTCATCTGTGTGACCCCTCCGAGGTTCAGTCCGAATCGATTTCACTTGCAGAGGAAGGCAAAGCCGATGCTATTTCTGCAATTATCGACCGAAGGGACGTCCCCAACCGGGACACCCCCCTCCACGTGGCAGTCAAGCTTGGGGATGAAACCGCCACTGAAATGCTCATGCTTGCCGGTGCGGATTGGAGCTTGCAGAACGAGCAGGGGTGGAGCGCGCTGCAGGAGGCCATATGTAACAAGGAGGAAGGGGTTGCCAAGATCATAGTCCGGCATTACCAGCCGCTGGCGTGGGCGAAATGGTGCAGGAGGTTGCCGAGGTTGATCGCGACGATGAGGAGGATGAGAGACTTTTACATGGAGATCACTTTCCATTTCGAGAGTTCGGTCATTCCTTTCATTTCCAGAATTGCCCCTTCGGACACGTACAGGATATGGAAGAGGGGCGCGAATCTGAGGGCCGACATGACTCTGGCGGGTTTCGATGGCTTCAGGATCCAACGCTCCGATCAGAGCGTTCTTTTCTTCGGCGATGGCTCCGAAGACGGGAAATTCCCTCCCGGCTCGTTGTGTATGGTGGCCCATAAGGATAGAGAAATCATGAACGCGTTGGATGGTGCGGGCGCTCCTGCCACAGAGGCTGAGGTTCAGCACGAAGTCGACTCGATGTCTCAGACGAACATATTCCGGCCCGGGATTGACGTCACCCAGGCGGTCCTGATGCCTCAGCTGACGTGGCGGCGGGCCGAGAAGGCGGAGATGGTGGGCCCGTGGAAGGCGAAGGTGTACGACATGCACAACGTGATCGTGAGCATCAAGTCCCGAAGGGTCCCGGGCGCCATGACGGACGACGAGTTCTTCAATTCTTGCAATGAGAACGAAACGGAGAGCGAGGACCTGAATGAGATACTGACCGAGGACGAGAGAAAGCAGCTCGAAGATGCTCTCAAGGTGGACAATGAGAACGGCGATGCTTTGACCATTCCACACCGCCATAGCTCTTACGAGCACACGGATGTTCCCATTGTTGAGGAGGGAAATGGGACGGAGGAGAAGAAGAGGTGGTTTAATGGGTGGAGGAAAAAGGAGAACAAACTCGAAGGGGAGAAAAGGGTGGGCCCCGCGAGGACCTCTGTATCCGTGGAAGAGAAGGGGTCGTCGCCAGCCAGACATTCAATGGATGTTAGTTCGAAGAAGGAAGAGGTTCAGCGAAGAAGAGATTCGAAAGCCTCTACATCTGGCAGCAATGAGCACCGGCGGAAGGAAGGGCACAAAGAGAGCGAGTACAAGAAGGGGCTGAGGCCTGTTCTATGGCTTTCCCCCGACTTCCCCTTGATAACCGAAGAGCTGCTTCCCCTTCTTGACATTCTTGCCAACAAGGTTAAGGCCATCCGGAGGCTCAGGGAATTGGTCACTACAAAACTACCCAAAGGAACCTTCCCCGTTAAGGTACGGCGTTTATATGCTCTTTCAACAATTTGTTCCTAATGTGCCATTGCCCTTTGCCATTGTAGTGATGAAACTGGCTTGGAATGTTTTAATCAGTTTAAGGATGAAATATCCTTTACAGAAATGTTATACTTTGCAAATTACATAGATTGTTGGAAACATATCAACAACAACAAATGCAGTAGAGTCCCACAAAAATTCCAGAAACATATGTAAAATGTTATTTTGAACTGGTCCAACTGTCAAAATAAAATACTCTGTATGTAACAAAGGCTGCTGACAAGCTTTTTTGGGACCGAAAAGCCCGATCATGGATGTCCTTAAGCCTTCTTTTTTTGTTTGTTCGCACAATCTCCAAAATGTTCCTCGCCAAACACCCCATCTTGGAGAAGCTCTTAAAGTTCAGCCAAAACACATGAACTCGACCAAAAACACTTCATGATTGTAGGCTTAGGAAAGAGTTTTTTACCATGTCAAAGAACGAACTCAACCAAAAGTCGAAGCTTGTGATTGTAGTAGGTCTAGGAAAGGCTTTATGCTCTTAACATAATACTGCGATTCATCTTCAGTAACGTCGTGTTTCAGGTTGCGATTCCGGTGGTCCCCACAATAAGGGTGATGGTTACTTTCACAAAGTTTGAGGAATTGCAGCCGTTGGACGAGTTTTCGACTCCTCCATCGAGCCCCCCTACTGCTGGGAGGGAGAGTCCGGTTGTGGTGCAGCCTTCGTCGTCCTGGTTTCAATGGGTGAAGTCCCCTTATCAGCAGCAGCAGCAGCAGCGTCCTGCTCTACCACCATCATCATCTTCTTCTTCGTCTGCTGCGACTTCGAGCTGCAAGATGGAAAACATTCAAGACCCCTTTGCAATCCCTTCGAACTACACGTGGATCACCGCAGAAGCGAAGAAGAAGAAATTGCAGGAGAAGTTGAAGAAGGGGAAGGGCAAGAAACAGTAGTCCCCCCCAAAAGATAGGAGAAGAAGAAGAAGGTTTGGGTCCGTTCGTTTTAATCTTTTATTTCATTTCATTTTTAGCAACCAAAAATATTGAGAGGAAAGGGGTATACGAGAGATAAGTGTAAAAGTTTGAAGCTGATATTTATTTTTACAGTTAATTCATTATGTGTGCATCTCTTTGGAAATCCAAGTACTTTTTTTTTTTTTTTGGTTTCTTTTTCAATTTAATTGACCACTTCTTTTTTGGACAAGGGGACACGGGAGGACCGAGCTTGACTTTAAACATTTTGGATAAAGTTTAATGATGACATAACTTTGAAATACTAACAAAAAGTTCAATGACATTTTCAAGACACTAAAATTAATGTGAAATAGTGTTTAAGTTTGTAATCACTAGCCTTAGGCCACGTGTTAAGGGGCGTGAGGAGGGGCTTCACCGCCCCCCTCATTTACACCCCTTCCTGAACCATGCATGAGCCTCGTCAAGTGAAGCTAGGCGTGATTGCCATCACGGTGTTGCTGTTCTCATTGTTTTTTTAATATTTCCAATTAATTAAAAATTTACAACATTCATTCCAGCTAATAAAAATAACTCACAATTTTACCCCATCACTTGGTAGTCAAGGCTGTTAAGCCCCGTTCAAACCCTGCAACACATACTTTTTAGATACCAAAAACTTTTTCTGTTTAGAAAATTGTGTAAAATCTTATATATTTTAAAATGATTTCATTTGTAAATTGGTACACAAATAAAAAATATAGCTTACATATTTGATTACATCAAAAGTACAATAAAATAAATGGTTACAAGAATATTTTATTCTTTCAAATGACTAATGAAAAAGCACGCAAACAAATGTTATTGGAAACCTGGAACAATAAATAAAAAATAATTTTTTAAAACGTAGGAAATATATTTTCTCACATCCACCCCCTAACAAAGCGCTAATGGCACTATATTGGTACCTGATTATACATCTATCAAATCTCGTCATAACACATGACTTAATCATAGAACGCTAAGGGAGTATGAAGCACCAAACTATGGAGCAGAGCATAAGCCTAGCATGTGGTCAGACATGGGCACTCGAGATAATGTCTCTCGCTTGCCTCTCAACCTTGCTGATTTATAAATACTGTTGTAAACCTTCAGTGAAAGGGACAAGACTTTCTCTCTAAAAGCACACTATAAAAGCTCTAGCCTGTAATACTCTCTTACTTTAATTACAATTGACTACGGGTGTCCCACCCATAATCATTCTGGTCAAACTCGAGTTCAAGTGTGTTTTTCAATATTTCAACCCAGCATATCAGTCTAGACTTGTGGGTAACTAATTTACATCATCAAATGTGATTTTTATTTTCATCTATTCGTGTAATTTCATTTTGAAATAAGGAAATCTTACTTTTGAAATAACTTAAAAAAGTAGTGTTCCTTGTATTGTTCTTCCCAAATCTTAGTTTTCAAACGCAGAGGAGACCGTCTCTATCGTCACTGTCAAATCTGCCGTCGTCACCATCTCCAATTCACCGTCGTCGTCTGGGGTGAGGTCGTCGTCGCGCGCTTACCTTCGATTGACGCAGCTCTGCTCCAGTTGTGTCTCCGTTCAATTGACGCAGCTCTTCTCCTGCACCGGCATCTCGTACTGGGTATTGCAATTGTTTTCCAATTGACGAAGGTTAAAGCTAGGATTTGTCGTGCTCCAAGGAATTCATTCGCCACCATCATCTTCTGCACCGGTCTGTAAAAATCCCCCTAAAATCTGATCAACTCACTCCTATCAGCCGAACAGATTCATCTCTACCTACTTCATTCAAACCACAACTCTGAAGGCGATTTCTCCTGAGGTTTGAAGCGTCCATGAGGTGAATAATTCTGCTGGATAATTTCTCTTCCCTTTCCAATGAAATGAAGAAATAAACGATTGTAGTTTTAGGGCTCAGCTTGGGTGGGTGGATTGTTTGCACTCGGTTAAATATGATTGCTCTACGGTTTACCTATTCAACCTGCTAGCGTGTTTTACTGGTTGATCTTAAGCTTTCATTTTGTTTTCGAGCTAGGCTTGTTTCGAGAAGAGCTGCTCTTAGCATTAGGAGTTTCAAGTTTGCACGAAGAGTGTTGTGTAGCAATTCAGGTGCCAACTTACCCGTTTCAGATTGTGATCAAATTGTCAAGGTAATTTCTTTAATTTTTACAACTTGCACAACAATTTAGGATTTTTTGAATCTTTCGAGAGTGCATCATCATATTTAACTGACTTATTATACTCCCTTCATCCCAAAAAAGATCCCGGTTTCAAGGAATTCAAGAACAAGTGATGATTAGTGGAAGATGTTTGGTGAAAAGTAAAAAGTATGTGGTTGAAGTGTATTTTGAAGATAGAGAATGATAGAAGCCACATATTTATTTCCTAAAATGAAAAGTGGAGAAGTGTGAATTCTTTTTGGATCGTTCAAAATGGAAACTGTAAAGTTCTTTTTTTGGGATAAAGTGAGTATGTTTGTCATGATCATTATGCCAACAGATACTCCGTATTTATTTTGGCATTGCCAATGGAGCTAAAAGAGTTGACAATGCTTTAATTTCAGTTGGATGATGGACTAACTTAAAATGTCACATCAAACTTCTTTTGCTTGAAGTAATGAATCAAGAGTCTAACTAAAAACCTTGTTTTTTTTTAAATTAGTAATTTGATATGCTATTGCATCCTGTATTTTTTTTTGTATAGAGAAATAGATGGACCAAGCCGTTAAGGTTTTTTTCCAAGAGAAATTATTGGCACTCCCGAAGTTAATTAGTTTTCATAACTTCTAATTTAAGATTCGCTTTCACTTTTCACGTGTTTTCTGTTCTATGATGCAGGAGCCTTTGAAGAAGCAAGAGTTGAACAGTTATGTCCCACAATATGATATTGCTATTGTTGGAGGAGGCATGGTTGGCATGGCCTTAGCTTGCTCACTAGGTGATGCTCTTTCCCCCTCCATCAGTATACTGTGATTCTATTTTATACTGGGAATTTATTAGTCCGTCATTAATCATCCATATGTGTCAATCACTATTCACCAATCATAAATATCTTATATCTGAATACATATTGCTGAAGAGTTGTCAAGATCATCTGAAAACTTTTTACCCAAGAAAAGTGATTGTCAGTGATGTTCCTTGCAAAACTAAAAAACAAACACCTTTATTTCCTTTTTCAATTATATCTGTAAATTTTCCGTAAGATTTTGAATATGCTTGCAGCTAGTGCACCATTGACAAGTACGCTAAGTGTAGCTATAATTGATAGCAATCCAGCATTACTGAATACCGACTGCTTGGGAGGGGAAGGACCCCCTGATCCAAGAGTCAGCACTGTAACACCTGCAACCATATCATTTTACAAAGGTATTGCTTTACTTTGAAATTTTTTGTTTCTTCTTTCACAAATTCAATTTTAGAACTTCACCATTCCTTGTGCAGTTTAGAATTGAGAGATAGGACATCCCAAAAAGAAAAGGAAATGAGAAGAATACATTAGGATATCCCAAAAAGAAAATGGAAAGAAAATGTTCTTCTCATTCCCTTTTCAAGGAAAATGAGAAGAAAGTTTTAGGACATCTCAAAAATGAAAACGGGGAAAAATTTTTGGAGGGAGGGGGAGTATGATCTTTTTGACATACCCTGGAAGCTCAAACTGCAACAGTGGAATTTTTTTCCTCCTGTAGTGTTTAGTGCACCGTATCTGTATTAGTGAATAAACTTTTCATCTCTTATTGAAGCATTTAATGTCATCATTTGTTCATTGTAGGTATGGGTGCATGGCAGCATGTCCAACAACAGCGGCATGCTTTTTTTGATAAGATGCAGGTGAGCAGTTCCCTTTTGTTTCCTTAGTAGTCCTTGCATAGTTTGTTGTAGGTGTGAACTCAAGTACTCAACATATATATTTTTATCATTTCTGTCATGCTTATCGTACTTATTTATTGTTGTCCTATTGTTTCTTAGAAACCGCGGTGAGGATAACCTTTTTTTTGTGTGCTATTTATCACTCTAGTGATTTACATACTGCAGCACTGCTTTCCCACCTTTCCTAATGCTTTAAACTACGGACCTTGTAGGTCTGGGATTACACAGGCCTGGGATATACAAGGTACAATGCAAGAGATGTTGGTAAAGAAGTTTTAGGGTAAGTGCTTCATTGGGTTAACTGATGAAACTTGTTTATTTGTTTGTTTATTGTGTTACTTCTTTTTTTGTTTTGTGCTTTATATAGGCACACACACACACATTTTACCTCCATGGTTCCATCCCAAAAAGAACATTATATTTCTCCACTTTCCTATTTCAGTAATGAATATGTGGCCCTTATTATTTCTCTGACATCAAAATAAATTTCAATCACAAAATTTTTACCTAACACCTTTCAGTATAGAGGGAGCACACGCGTGTGTGTGTAAAGTGTTACTATGATTACGAAATTCATACTTATCAATATTTTTTATTTGGTTGTTAATTTTAGGTGTGTTGTGGAGAATAAAGTTCTTCATAGATCCCTGGTATCATGCATACAGGTATTCAAAACGTTTCTAGCTGTGTTAATGTTCATATTGTTTTAACTTATTGTGAATTACCCTGGAGACTTAATTGGTGAAAGTATCGAAAGTTTGATTTGGATGTTTCTTTTTGAGGAGGTATATGTTTGTCCTTGCACACCACGTAGGTTTCATGCTTTTTTTCCCCACCATCAATAGTTAATTTGTTTTTTTCTTTCAGTTCTCCGGATTTCTCATCGATTTCTTTTTAGAAGGATTGCTTTCTTTGCCATGTGTCGCCACTAGCCTTTCAATATCTTGTTAGCATTTAGCTGTTAATAAAGCTTCACAATTTAATATTTCTATTTCTTTAAATGTTAGACTTCAACGACTTTATTAGGCGAAAGATTTGCGGTGGGGGATGATATGCTTTATCCAAACTGGCATGAGCTTTTATTTGATATAGATCTTTGTTGCACAACCACATAAGTTAGTGGTGTATTTGTAATATATAGGCTAGCAGATAACGACCTGTTAAATCTTGACTATGGAGAACTTGACAGAATACAGAATTTAAGAAGAGAATATACTCTGCCAAGTTGAGCTCAATGACTTTAAATTCAAGTAGTTCACTCAACATGTCCACCGGCACAACATCACAACCATGTGGAAGTTCTGCTAGATTGGATTTGAGCAACGGCGATAGTCTGTATGCAAAGTTGGTGGTAAATCTCAACTTAATCTGCTTTCTTTTAGAGGCACAAAAAATTCATTCTAAATGTAATAAATATATAAATATAAAGTTCCACACACACACACACACACACACACACAAAATACATTGAATGTTCAGTTAGGTGTTTCATCTGTTTCACCATGGACTATGGTGGTGCCTGACAGGTTGGAGCTGATGGGTCAAAATCACACGTTAGGGAGTGTGCGGGAATTGAGACTGCTGGATGGAAATATTCTCAGAGCGCCATAATCTGCACAGTAGAGCATGCAGAGATGAACCACATGGCTTGGCAAAGATTTTTACCCAACGGTCCAATCGCTCTTTTGCCCATAGGTGACAATTTCAGCAACATTGTCTGGACCATGGACCCCAAAGAGTCATTGGAGCGGCAATCAGCAAGCGAGGGTGACTTTGTGAAAATGGTGAATAGTGCATTGGATCAAGGGTACGGCCCACGTCCTGAACCACAACTATTTGGTGGTCCTAATCTATTTTCTTCGCTCAGATCAGCAGATGCCCCATCATCAGCCAATGAGAGCTTCGAAGTTCCACCAAAGATCATAAAATTGGCATCTGCCAGAAAGCTCTTCCCGCTGTCTTTAATGCATGCCAAAAGATACGCATCAAAACGGGTAGTTCTTATTGGTGATGCTGCACACACTGTTCATCCACTAGCCGGTCAAGGGGTGAACATGGGATTTGCTGATGCAATTGCTCTTTCAAAAGCCATCGCTGAAGGTGTTGCTGTAGGATCTGACATTGGAGAGGTATGTCCATGATTTATTTGTTTATTCAATCTCTTAAAGCCCATCTGGCCCCAAGCTGAGTTTTTGGAAATGAAACATGTTTGGTAAAAAACTCTTTCAACCAATTCAGAAGCTACTTATTGTGATTAATAAGCTACTTATTATTTTATCAAATGTGCTCTTATGTAACTTTACACATTCATTCTTGGTATGGTGGATGTGTGGATTGATGATTAAAAAGCTCTGGTTTGGGGTGTGAGCAGGTTTCTGTGTTGCAGAGGTACGAATCGGAGAGGAAACCAGCAAACATTGCAATGATGGCTGTGCTTGATGGCTTTCAAAAGGCATACTCTGTTGATTTTATGCCAGTTAATCTGCTCCGGGCGGCTGCATTCCAGGCTGCTCACTACATATCACCCCTCAAGCAAAACATCATCTCTTTTGCTTCAGGTGAGCACAAGCCGCTTCCCCTTCTGTTCACCTGATCTTAATGTAAAGATTATACATTTTGAGTATAGAATATCAATCAATCAATGCTCAACAATGGTGCTCCCATTTACTTCTCGTTCTCACCACAATTCTTGATGCATTTGTTGATTCATTCGTTCAATGTTGAGCATTAAGGGTGTGTTTGGTTGGGGGAGAGGAAAAAATGGCACCCTCTCATTTGTTTCGAAACGTTTTTTCATCACCGCAAAAGTTTTCTAGAGCACACACATCAAGTGACTTACGGATAATTATTGATTCAATTATTCACGGTATAAGAAACCCAACATGAAGGCCCTTATGGCTTCTTTGGGGAGTATAGCATACTCTCCTCCATAACCCTTCTTCTTCTTCTCCTCTTTCATAGCCATTCTTCTTCTCCTCCACTGCCCCTATTCTGCCTCTTCTCCTCGCCTTTAATCTTCTTCTCCTCCATTGTTTCCATCTCCAGGTAGCCAATTTGAGCCGCTGCCATCCCCAGGCAATTTGAGCCGCTTCCATCCCTGTTTGCACCCTCTGCAAGGTGTTTGATAAAATGTTTGAAAGACAAATTGATTTTCTAAGTACTCATTTTCCATGGATGAAACAAACAAAAATGGATTATTTTCAACTTTAAGCCAAACACCAGAAAAGAAAAATAATTTCAAGAAAATATCCATTTTCCAAAAGTCGTTTTCCAAGATCCATTTTCCTGGTTTCCAAGATCCATTTTCCTAGCCGTTGTTTTTATTGCATTGATATCCGTGTCTTATTTCTCACATGCTGGCCACACTGCCACAGAAGGTGAGACTTGAGAGTATGCATAAGAGCATTAAGCATATATGAAACAAAAATGCTAAGGTACACCAAATATTGTACTCCATTTGTACCCCTCTCCATCTCCACCATACAAATGAAAGCGAAGAAAACAAATTAAAATTGGAAAAAAAATTAATGGTTAGGATTGTATGGAGTACGGGGTCTCGGGACCATACGGGCGATTTTGTGTGTGTATATATATAAACAATATTAGGAAAACTATATATTACATACTACTTTCGTCCCTGAGTTTTTGTCCAATATTGATTTTTTTCAGTCAACTGTTTTCAACCTTTGACCTATAATTACATAAAATATATATTGTACATTAATTACATAAAATAATATTTTGTAAATATTTAATATGATAAATCTAATAAAGTTATTTTTGTATCAATGCCTAATGTCATTTTTATTTAATTTGATACTCCCTCCGTCCTATAATGATCTTCCCAGAGCACTATTCCAACTTCACGGCAATTTATATTTATTTGTGTTTTTTCATGGCCTATATGATAAAATAAAATATTCTTGTCAACACTTGTTTTGTTGAACTTTCGGTGTACTCCCTCCGTCCCATTTTATAACGCCTATTTCGGTTTACAATGTTTGACTGAAGTTATTTTCAAATCATTTTATATGACAAATGGTATAGAATTAAAAAATAAACATTACATATCAAAATACTACATCAAAAGATCTACAAAACTAGTAGTGACAAAATATTTTATTTTATCAATTTGCTAACAAAAATAGAGAAAGAAAGTGAATGAAGTTTGACTAGTAAACAGGCATTATAATTTGGGACGGAGGGAGTAGTTTTTAAATATGTATGTTTTATTTTTTATTTCTATACCAATATTTAAATAAAATAGATTGAAAAAACTTGGGATTTTTCTTCGTTTTGCGAACCGAGAAGATCATTATAGGACGGAGGGAGTATCAAAGTTTATCAATTTTAACCAAAAAAAAGTCAAAAGTTGACAATTACTCAAAAACGGAGGGAGTAGATGCAAAGTGGGTTCATCTCTACCCAATGGTGAAGTGAAATGGTGTCCGCTGCAATAACCACGAACAACTTTTTCAAGTCAAATTAGATAAATTTTTATCATCAATTAAATTAAAATTGTATAGAATATTGAAATAAAATTAATTTTATTAGATTTATCTTGTCAAAAATTATCAAAAATTAATTTATTCAAACTAATATACAATACAAATTTAACTTAATTGATGTTTAAAGTTCGGCCTATTTGACTAAATAAAAAACTAGACGAATACTCTGCGACAGAGTACAATTTACATATGAAGCTACGTTTAAAGTTTTACAAAATAAAATACGAGAATATTTTATTTTATCAAACAATCAATGAAATCAAATAAGTAAACAAAAATTATCAAATGTAAATACAATAATAATGTAACTGAGTTTGGGAGGAAAGGAGACTTATATTTGTTACCATTAGTGGTGATGATATTTTAATAAGACAATTTTAAAATATAAAAAGTAGTCACTACTGATTTCACATTGTAATTTATTCTTTTCAAATTAAATTCAATATTTTTCCAATTAATATACTCCCTCCGTCCCCCATAGATCTTCCCAATAGCCATTTTTCTTTGTCCACAATAGATCTTCTCATTTCATTTTTTAACAATTAAAATACCACAACTTACTTTATTTATTACACCTCACTCACCTCATTTAATACACTCCACTCATTTTCATTGAGGGTATTATGATAAACTTTCACCTTTTTTCAACTCTCCTTAAAAACTACCAAAAGTCAAAATGAGAACATCTTAGGGGGACGGAGGGAGTAATATTTTATTTTATGAATTACTCTCATCGTCTCGTTATTTGTGTTAAAATCTATAATTTTTAAGTTTTTTTCAACAACAATATGTAGATAATTTCAATAAAAAAGATTTTAGTCAAACATTATAAACAGAAATGAGACAAAAACATGACAAAAGAATACTTTTTCTACTTAATACACGATATATTGTGTGTTGATAAAACATCTCACAAACAGGATCCCACAACCCAAATTTCCAAGTCCGCCACACTCACCCAAGGTTAAGAATGTTTGTAATGGTTAGCGATTTAGGTATTTAAGTGAAAATAAAAGGGTACATAAAAAAATGTCACTAGAATAATAATCTCGTAGCTGAACAATTAATCTCATTTTCAATCGAATTATCTTTATACTACTGTACTTTCTTTTTTTCCCAACGTCTAATTTCCGTTTTCCTTCCAATATAACAGGGCTGTTTTCATAAATGAAAAAGAATATGTGCCTCATTTTTTCCATCTCCTCTGCATAACTATAAAGCACTTTATTAGTACAAAACATATGTGATCAAATCGGGCACATTAAATTGGGAGGGAGGGAGTAACATGTATGATCAAATCGATTAGACTATACATATTTTCTACATTTGGCTACAGAGAAAGATACCTGTGGGTATGGGTTCAGAACAAAGAACAATGTTAATTTACAATAGCGCATCTCGTAGCAAACGTGCAAAGACTCTAGAAGACAACCGAGCGACCACTTCGGGTAGCACTTTGGCCGAAAAGCCGGGCAGCACGGGGAGAAGTTCCCGAATTGCCCCTGCAACATTCACTACTCCCTGCAGACATTGTAAAACAGCAATGCATTTCATGGAAAGAGAAATATGATTAGGTAAATCTAACATCAAGAAAGATGTTATAAAAGATCAAACAGCAATTTGAGTGTACCTGGGAATTTGATGAAATGGTACTACCAGATGTTAAGAAACCAACTATCTTTTGGACATTGTTTAATATGACTTTGTCCTCCTCAGTTATTGTAGGCAAAATTGCAGCGGGTTTGATACTCCCCAAAGTGAATGCCGGAGATATATTTTGTACTCCAAGTACCAACATTATCTGCCTCAGCTGTTCCCTCGTAACAGCATCTATTCCTTTCACAGTCTGCATACATTTCAAACAGAGTTCATCATGTATTTAGAGCCGAACGACATATATGACTGACGTATTATTTTTAGAGTAAATTGTAATTATTTCTTTTGAAAAACTTTACAAAAATTAGCTATGGAAACATGACTTTTTTTGGATAAAAAAAAATGAAACAGATTTTTTCCGTGTAGTGGACAGAGGGAGTAATACTTATAATCATATAAGAAGCAACAATAACATTTCTCTGTATCTAATTTGTCAGTATACCTCGTCGAGAAGAAACTCCCGAAAAAAATTCCCCTTTTCAGAAACTAGAAATGCCAAGGCCGCCCTAGTTTGAATGGGCTGAGATCCTTCAGAAGCTGTCCAAGGAAAAGCAGGAAGCATGGTATTTGGCTCACTCCGTATAATTCCAAGTTCTGCCATCCTCCCATTCATATTCTCGCCACCTCCGCTCCTAGCTGCTGTTGTGAAATTCTCAAATGCTAGCATGACGTCTATAAACCTTTCGGCATCAAAAACACCAGATTTTCCATATATAGTATATCTTAAGGCATTCCTTAAACGTGGAGATTCATCTGTCAGAAGCCTCTGTATTTATTTATTGATTAGAAAGGTGTGTTAGCGTCAGTGTGTATAAACTTAAATGTAGATATGTATAACTCCCCTTTCTGGGAAATAATAACATATTATATCTACAAAATTAATACTATACTCCCTCCGTCCCAAACAAGACTCATGTTCTAAAATAACCACAAAAAAGAGCCCGGTTATAAAGTCAAGTTTCATTTTCAAGCCAAATTCCCAAAAATCAAGTGGTTAGTGGTTTAGTCAATTATTCGAAGCTATCTATGAAATATGAGTAAAATTTAAGGTAATAAGTGATCATTCGTAACTTGTAAAAGATTGTTGCTTGATTGAGCTTACTAACATAGTACCCTGCTCAAATAGGACTTGGTTGTTTGGGGAGATGTTACAGAGCACCGTAGATGCTCCAATTGGAGCTGGTGTCATCCCTTGACACCCAAAGTGAGTGTTAACGGAACCGACCGTTGATGGTTATCATCATCATCATTATTATTATTACTATTATTATTATTATTATTATTATTATTATTATTATTATTATTATTAGTTTCCAACAAACTATTACTATTATTATTAGCTTCTTAAAATTATTAGGAATATTAATTGTTTCCTATTAGTAGTCTTATTCTATTATTAATAAACGAGGATTCATGTTTCCTAATATGATTATGATAGGTATCTTGCAAGGCTTTGTCTATTAATACTTGCACAATTATTAATAAAATTATCATCGCTGAAACAATTAGATTAAACAATTCTTCCTAAATCCTAATTAGTCACGGACTATAGGATTTGAAGTTCTTCCACTTCTGGCCAC